ACTGGATAACCACATGTAAAAGACTAAACTGGACCCACACCTTTCACCACTCACTAAAAATTGATTTGAGATGGATAAAAGATCTAAATCTAAGGCATGAAACAATAAAAATTCTGGAAGAAAGTGTGGGGAAAACACTTGAAAGTACTGGTCTGGGGAAAGACTTTATGAAGAAGACTCCAGTGGCAACTGCAACAACAAAAATAAACAAATGGAACTTCATTAAACTGAATAGCTTTTGTACAACTAAGGAGACAACAACCAAAGCAAAGGGACAACAATCAGAATGAGAAAAGATATTTGCATATTATCAATCGGACAAAACCTTGATAACTAGAATCTATGGAGAACTCAAATTAAGAAACAAAAAACTAGCCAACAATCCCTTATATCAATGGGCAAGAGAGATGAATAGAATCTTCTCTAAAGAAGACAGACAAATGGTTAACAAACATATGAAAAAATGCTCATCATCCCTAATTATCAGAGAAATGCAAATCATACCTACCCTGAGAAATCACCTACCCCCACTGAGAATAGCCATCACAAAGTCTCAAAGCTGCAAATGCTGGCATGGATGTGGAGAGAAGGGAACACTTTTACACCGCTGGTGGGACTGCAAACTAATACAACTTCCTTCCTTTTTGGAAGGAAGTATGGAGAACCCTCAAAGAACTCAAACTAGACCTCCCATTTGATCCTGCAATCCTGTACTGGGCATCTACCCAGAAGAACAAAAATCATTTCATCGTAAGGACATCTGCACTAGACTGTTTATTGCAGCTCAGTTTACAATTGCCAAATAATGTAAACAACCTAAATATCCACCGATCCAGGAATGGTTTAACAAGATATGGTATATGTATACCATGGAAATACTTTTTGGCCACTAAAAAAGATGGTGACTTTACATCTTTTGTATTAACCTGGATGGAGATGGAAAATATTCTTCTTAGTAAAGCATCACAATAATGGAGAAGCAAGAATCCAGTGTACTCAATTCTGATATGGTGACAATTGATGCTAATACCTAGTGGTGAGTGGGGAATGGGGGAGTGGAGAGAGGGGAAGAGAGAGAGGGGTGGGGGGGGTCACAGTATATTGCATACCTCTTGGGGGCAGGACACAATTATAATAGGGACTTTACCTAACAAATGTAAGCAGTGTAACCTGGTTCTTTGTACCCTCGATGATTCCCCAACAATTAAAAAAAAAGATGTGTGTGTGTGTGCACATATATATATATATCTCCATGAGCATTATCACCTTCAAAGGAGTCACCTTGAGGAACTATTTAATTGTTAAGGAATGTCATAATTTCTCACCACCATTTTAGGACTCCTCTTTTATAGTTAACTTCAGAAGCTCGCACATTTTTTCCTACATACCTGATCATAATAAATATAGTGTGTCCTTTAAGAATAAATTTGATTTTTTTAAAGAGCCATAACTTTGGCAAATTAAGTGATCACAGTAATATCTTCTTTAGTAAAAAATGAGATATGACTATAAAATACTATGATTCGTAGTTTGTCTTGCAAGTAATGTCACAGCTTTGGAATAAAAGTAACTTCAAAATTTAAAGGACAAGAGTCATTTGGTATATAAATATGTAAGTTCACATAAGTATCCACAAGGTGACACAAAAAGTCCTTAAGTCATTTTGATTTTGTACTTTCTTGAGTAGCCAGAACAGGGTTGCCTCTCCTGCTCCTGGCTGTCAGGTCACAGAAGGCTTCAAGAACAAGTGCCTTTACCTCCCAAAAGGAAAGGGGAGAAAGGAAAAGGCTGAAAAAGTATTCAAAGAAGTAATGACTGAAAAACTATATTTGGCACAAATTGTAAGCCTAGAGATTCAAGAAACTCAGCAAATGGTAAAAAAGATAAGCCCAATGAAATTCACACCAAGATACATCATAGTCAAACTTCTGAAAATGAAGAAATAGAAAAAATATCTTGAAAGTAGCCAAAGGGAAGTGCCACATTGCCTTTGATGGAAAAACAATTTGAATAGCAGAATTCTCTCTGAAATCATGTAGGTCAGGAAAAAATGGCACATTTTTCAAGTGCTGAAAGAAAAGAACTGTTGATCCAGAATTCTATATCCAGTGAAAACATCCTCCAGCAAAAAAGGAGGAAGAGATTGTATTTTAAAATTTGGGGGACAATAATCAAAATCTGAGAGTTTTTCTTTGGGAAAGGACAAAGAGCAAAACCAAGAACTGTAGTTTTAGGGAGGAGTGAAGGCCCAAGGAAGTAAGGACTCTTCCTTGGAGGGCTGATCTAAAGGTTTAGGGATAGCAGAGCAAATACGGAAATCTTGGGGTGTTCTGACAAGCTGGATTTGTGAACTCCACGTATACAAAGACACTCTTATCAGGCGGGATGTTCCAAGGGCTTAGAGATTCGCTCTCAGGAACCTGTGGAGGATCAGTCTTTCCTTTGGAATGTACATCCAAGCCTGCCCAATTAACCCTTTACTGCCCATATGGCAACCAAATGAAAAGTGTGGACCTTGTCTGGATTTTGATTCAAACAAGCAACTGTTAATAAAACAGAACAAAATAAAACAATAAACTTTTTCTTTTTCATGGCTCATAGTATATACGGTATGTGTGTGTATATATATATGTATATGTATATATGTATAGGTATATATATACACACATATGTCATATAACAGATATATAATTGATATATATATAATACATTGCATATATTTAAATTATACAATTTGATAACTTTTTTTTTTCTGACATGGGGTCCTGCTCTGTCACCTGACCTAGAGTGCAGTGGCCTGATCATAGCTCACTGCAACCTCAAACTCTAGGCTCTAATGATCCTCCCAGTTCAGACTCCTGAGTATCTAGGATGCCCAGCTAATTTTCTTTTATTTAATTTTTTGTAGAGACAGGGTGTCACTATGTTTCTCAGGCTGGTCTCAAACTCCTGACCTCAAGCAATCCTTCGTCTTAGCCTCCTAAAGTGCTAGAATTGTAGGCATGAGCCACTGCACCCTGCCCAATTTGATACGTTTTGATATTTGCATATACCTGTGATACCATCAGCACAATCAAGATAAAGAATTCATACATTACCTCCAAGAATTCCTTCTTATTCCTCTAGAATCCCTCCATTTGGCTCTTCCATGTCCTCCTCATCCCCAGGAAACCACTTATCTTCTTTCTTTTCTTTTCTTTTTTTTTTTTTTTTTTTTGAGACAGAGTCCCACTATGTTGCCCTGGGTAGAGTGCTGTGGTGTCACAGCTCATAGCAACCTCAAACTCTTGGGCTTAAGTGATTCTCTTGCCTCAACCTCCCATAGGAGGACTACAGGTGCCCGCCACAATGCCCAGCTAATTTTTGGTTGTAGTTGTCATTGTTGTTTGTCAGGCCTGGGCTGGATTCGAACCCTCCAGGTCCACTGTAAGTGGCCAGCACCCTAGCTGCTGAGCTACAGGCACTGAGCCACTTATCTTCTTTCTGTTAGTAAGTTTGTAATTTTTAGAGTTTTATATACGGAATCATACTGTATGTACTCTTATGTCAGACTTTTTTCATTCAGCATAATTTGATATTTATACATGTTTTTGGTTATACCTATAGTGTATTTCTTTTTATTGGTGAATAGTATTCCATTATATTTATATATATCTGTTTATACCAATATATCCATCACCTCTTGCTGGGCATTTAGTTTATTTCCAATTGGAGGTTATCTCAAGTTAAGGTACCATGAACATTCATATATAAGTCTTTGTATAAACAAATACTTTCTTTTATTTTAGGTAAATACCTAGGAGTAGAATTGTTGTATTACACAGTAAGTATATGCTTACCTTTTTTGTTCTGAGATAGAGTCTCACTTTGTCACCCTTGGTAGAGTGCATGGTATCCTAGCTCACAGCAACCTCAAACTCTTGGGCTCAAGTGATTGTCTTGCCTCAGCCTCTCAAGTAATTGGAGCTATAGGCACCTGCCACAATGCCTGGCTATTTTTAAAGATGAGGTCTTGCTCTGGCTTAGGCTGTGAGCTCAGGCAATCCACCCACCTGGGCCTCCTAGAGTGCTAACATTACAGGCATGTACCACTGCACCTGGCCCCCTATGCTTAACTTTTTAACCAGTACTGGCTAATATCCCTATGTGTAGAATCTAAAACTATCTAGAAGAAAACATGGGAGGAAATCTTTGTGACCTTCAGATAGGCAAAGTTGTCTTAGATATGACAAGCAAACATGATCATAAGAGAAAAAAATGATAAATTGAATTTCCTTAAAAGGAAGAACTATATACTCTTTGAAAAACATTGTTAAGGCTCATGCCTGTAATCCCAGTGCTTTGGGAGGCCAAAATGAGAGGATTATTTTAAGCCAGGAGTTCAAGACCAGCTTGGGCAACATAGCAAGACTCCATCTCTACAAAATATTTTTTAAAAATTTAACCAGGCATGGTGGTGTGTCTGTAGTCCCAGATATTCAGGAGACAGAGGCAGAAGGATTGCTTGAGGCCAAGAGTTTGAGGCTACAGTGAGCTATGATCAGGACACTGCATTCCAGCCTGGGAGACAAAGTGAGATTCTGTCTCTATGAAAAAGAAAAACACTGTTTCAAGAAAGAAGAGGCAACCACATACTGGGAGAGAATCTTTGCCTGTTACATATCTGACAAAGGATTTATATCCAGAATATACCAAGATTTCTCAAAAGTTAATAGAAAACAACTCAAATTTTAAAATAGAACAAAATTTGATCATACCCAAGAAATATGAATGGCAAATAGGCACATGAAAAGATGCGCAAGGTCATTAGTCATTAGGAAAATGCTAATTAAGACACATAGAAGCCAGATGTGGTGGCTCATGCCTGTAATCCTAGCACTTTAGGAGGCTGAACCAGGTGGATTGCCTGAACTCAGGAGGTGGAGACCAGCCTGAGGAAGAGCAAGATCCTGTCTCTATTAAAATAGAAAAAATAGCTTCTTTTCCGATGAAAACCCCAAATGGCAGATGACACTGGTGCAGCAGGAAGGCCTAGAGGCTCTGGGGGCCCCGGAATGGGAAGCCATGGTGGTTTCCGTGGAGGCTTCAGCAGCGGCATTCATTTGGGCCAGGGTCACAGCTGTGGTGTGGGTTGGGGCTGAGGCCGCAGAGTTCATGGAGGCAAGGCCAAGGACAAAGAGTCGATGCCTGTCACCAAGCTGGGCCACCTGGTCAAGGACATGAAGATCAATCCCTGGAGGGAGCTATCTCTTCTCCCTGCCCATTAAGGAATCTGAGATCATTGATTTTTTTTCTTGGGGGCATCTCTCAAGGATGAAGTTTTGAAGATTATGCCAGTGCAAAAAATAGACCCACACTGGCCAGCGGACCAGGTTCAAGGCATGTGTTGCCATTGGGGACTACAATGGCCATGTCGATCTGAGTGTTAAGTGTTCCAAGGAAGTAGCCACTGCCATCTGAGGGGCCATCATCCTGGCCAAGCTCTCTATTGTCCCAGTGCGGGGAGGCTACTGGGGGAATAAGATCGACAAGCCTTACCCTGTTCCTTGCAAGGTGACAGGCCACTGTGGCTCTGTGCTGGTAGGTCTCATCCCTGCTCCTAGAGGAACTGGCATTGTCTCAGCGCCTGTGCCTAAGAAGCTGCTAATGATGACTGGGATCAATGACTGCTACATTTCAGCTAGGGGCTGCACTGCCACCCTGGGCAACTTTGCCAAGGCCACTTTTGATGCCATTTCCAAGACCTATAGCTATTTCACTCCTGACTTCTGGGAAGACACAGTATTCACCAAGTCTCTTTACCAAGAATTCACTGACCATCTTGTCAAGACCCACACCAGAGTCTCTGTGCAGAGGACCCAGGCTCCAGCTGTGGCTACAACATAGGGTTTTTAGACAAGAATAATAAAGTGAATTAAGTCTATTTAAAAAAATAGAAAAACTAGCCAGGTGTTGGGGCAGGTACTACTACTTGGGAGCCTGATGCTAGAAGACTGCTATAGCCCAAGAGATTTAGGTTGCTGTGAGCTATGATGCCATGGTACTATACCCAGGGCCACAGACTGAAACTCTGTCTCAAAAAACAAACAAAAAGACACATTGAGATACTACTATGCATCTATTACGATGTTTAAAATTTAAAATGACTAACAATACCCATTACTTACTGTCAGGGATGTGAAATAACAAGAACACTCATAACCTGGTGGGGATACAAAATGATACAACCATTTTGGAAAAGTTTGACAGTTTCTTATTTTTTGTTTTAAATTTTGACCTTGAAATGATTTCAAACTTACATAAAAGTTGCAAGAATCATTCAAAGAACTCTTATGTATCCTTTACCTAAATCTCCCAAATCAACATTCTATGTTTGACTTATCATCTTCTCATTCTCTTTTTTCCCCCTGAATCATTTGGGAGCTAATTGCATATTTAATATTCTGTTGTTCCTTGATGTGTCAATGGAAATTTCCTAATAAGGAGTCTACTTTTTTACATGACCACAGTATGACCATAATTTCCACCAGGAAATTAACATTGATATAATATTGCCATCTAATCCAAAAAGTCCTTTTAAATTTTGATGATTGAGGCCAGATCTGGTGGCTCATACTTGTAATCTTAGAGCTCTGGGAGGCTGAGTCCTGTGGATTGAATAAGTTCAGGAATTCTAGACCAGCCTAAGCAAGAGTGAGCCCCCCATCTCTGCAAATAGAAAAACTAACTGGGCATTGTGGCAGGTGCCTGTAGTTCCAGCTACTTGGGAGACTGAGACAAGAGAATCACTTCAGCCCAAGAGTTTGAGGTTCCTGTGAGCAATAATACCACTGCACTCAATGGTGGTATTATTGTTTTTGGAGACTGAGTGAGACTCTGTCTCTGTCTCACTCAGTCTCCAAAAAAACCCCAAATTTTTGCTGATTGTTCTGATTATGTCCTTTATAATTTCAGCATCCAGTACAGATTCTAATTTTAGACAAATGGAAAATTTTGAATATAGATTAGGTATTAAATGATGCTAGAAAATTGATACATTTTTAAGGTATAAGAATGATATTATGTTGCTTAAAGGTTCTTTTCTGTTAGAGATACAATCTTAAATATTTATAGGAAAAAAAGTGATACAATGTTTAAGAGTTTGTTTAAAACACTCCTGGGGGGGGGGGGGTGTAGAAGAGAAAAGATTGGTAAGATCTTTAATTGTTTATCCATAATTGTGCTGAAGCTGAGTGATGAGTGGTTTATTATAATATTTCTTCTACTTTTATGTATGTTTGAAATTTCCATAATTAGAGAGTTAAAAAAATAAAAAGATCAATGGGGAGATGGAGGGATTTTAAGGATTGGAGTGATATGATCACATTTACAAATTACTCTGGCTTTAGTGAGAATAATGGTTTAAAATGGGGCAAGAATGAAAACAGAGATTGGTTAGAGAGCTGTTGAAGTAATCCAGGGAAAAGGTGATGGTGTACGTCCTGAACTAAGTTAGTGGCAACAGGTTGGAATATAGTAGATGGACTGAAGAAATAGTGACGATCCGGGGCAGGGTGAGTCATGTCTGTAATCCTAGCACTCTGGGAGGCCCACATGAGAGGATCACTTAAGTTTAGGAGTTTAGCTTGAGCAAGAGCAAGACCTGGTCTCTATTAAAAATAGAAAAATTAACTGGGCATTGTGGTGGGTACCTATAGTCCCAGCTGCTTGGGAGGCTGAAGCAGGAGGATCACTTGAACGTAGGAGTTTGAGTGAGCTAGGCTGATGACACTATACTCAAGCCTCAGCAACAGAGAGAGAAGACACTTTCTGGAAAAAAAAAGAAAAATAAGAGAAAAGAAATAGTGACTATCTGGATGAGGGAGTTGAAAGAAAGATAATTTGGAATCACTTTTAGTTGTGTGGTACCATAAACCTTGTCATGATCACTGGAAAAACAATAGGTGCCCAGGGGAGGGAAGAAGATGGTTTAAAGTGGATCAGGCTAGTACATTTGTGTTATCTGGCTGCAACTAGGTGTAGAGATAATCCTAATCATTAGCTAGTGAACAGTGTAGAAGTTAAGCAAGGTAGACAGAAGAAACACATCATTTAAACCTATTTTGTAGTAATATGATTACTATAAATGGCCATGTAGCATTAGTAGGCAACAGAAAGTGAAATGGAATGACAATGTCTGGGTTGACAGGTTAATTTACAAACTGGTAAATGTACAATTGGAGGTAAGATATAGCAGAAAGACTCCCTAAATTCACATTGAGTGAACTGAGCAGGGAACATAATTCTTTGCACAGGAATCTAGTCCATAAAGATGTCTGAATGGAAAGTCATTTTTCAGTTAAAATTGCAAGATGGTACTGGAGACCACCAAAGCTGAACAATGTAAGGGCAGAGAACATGCATGGGATATTGAATCTATGGTTAACAGGATGAGGTTGGTGGTACTAAACTGGGGGGAAGGAGGGTAGTGGTCACAAGTTTTACTCCTGGTAGTCTTGTTCCAGGAAGGTTCAAGGTGAGACTGTAAGTGACTTGAGAACCCATCAAAGTTTGCCCTGTAAGACTTTCCTCTCCCTAGCCATGCCATAGTGGACTTCCAGCAGGCACTTCTGTTAAAGAGAATTGTTCCCACATAGAAATGGGATTATTTGTTCTTTTCTTATTGATTAGTTTAAACTCTCTGTGGATTCTAGTTATCAGACCTTTTTCAGAAGCATAACCTACAAATATGAACAGAAACTTCTCTGAAGAAAACAGGCACGTGGCTCACAAACACATGAAAAAATGCTCTCCTCCTTAATCATCAGAGAAATGCAGATTGAAACCACTTTGAGATATCATCTAACTCCAGTAAGATTAGCCCACATAACAAAAGCCCAAAACTACAGATTTGGCATGGATGTGGAGAGAAGGGAACACTTCTACACTGCTGGTGGGAATGCAAGCTAATACGGCCTTTTTGGAAAGAAGTTTGGAGAATACTCAAGAAATTAAAAGTGGACCTACCATTTGATCCTGGAATCCCCCTATCAGGTATTTACCTAGATGATCAAAAATCATTTTACAACAAAGACATTTGCACCAGAATGTTTATTGCAGCCCAATTCATAATTGCCAAGTCATGGACGCAACCCAAGGGCCCATCGACCCATGAATGGATTAACAAATTGTGGTATATGTACACCATGGAATATTATGCAGCCATAAAAAAAGATGAGGATCAACAACAACAACAAAAAAGGCTCAGTGCCTGTGGCTCAAGTAGCTAAGGCACCAGCCACATATGCCTAAGGTGGCGGGTTCAAATCTAGCCTGGGCCATCAAAAACAACAATGATGGCTGCAACCAAAAAATGGCCGGGCATTGTGTTGGGCACCTGTGGTCCCAGCTACTTGGGAGGCTGAGGCAGGAGACTCGCTTGAGCCCAGGAGTTGGAGGTTGCTGTGAGCTGTGATGTCACCGCACTCCACCCAGGGGGACAGCTTGAAGCTCTGTCTCAACAACAACAACAACAAAGATGGGGACTTCACATCTTTTATGTTTGCCTGGAAGGAGCTGGAACATATTCTTCTTAGTAAAGTCTCTCAGGAATGGGGGGGAAAAACTATCCAATGTATTCAACTGTGAAATCTGTATATAATCACCTACACATCCATAAGAATGGTAAAACATAACTATAGTCCAGAAAGGAGGAGGGAAGAGGAAGGAGAGGGGAAGTGGGAGACCAGGAGGAGGGAGGGTATTTGGGGGGACCTAACCTAATGTGATAATACAGTGATACATTTCAAACTATTAAAAATTGAGTATGAATGTTTTTACTACAACAAGTAAGCGAGGAGATGGTTATATTAATCAGATGTTAAGTATTCCACATTGTATATCAAATCAGCACATTGTACCTCATAAATGCATTAATGTACACGTGCACTTATGATTTAATAAAGAGTAAGAAAAAAGAGAATTGTTCCAAAAAAAGATACAATCTGTTTTTTTGTTACTTTGTTTCTTCTTGTTTGAAAAGTCTCACTCTGTTGCCCTCCGTACAATCTCTTGGGCTCTGGCGATCCTTCCAAGTAGCTGGGCCTGCAGTCGCCCGCCACGACCTGCGGGTGGTCTTTCCGTCTTTAGTAGAGAAGGGGGGAGGTGTGTCTCGCTGTTGCTCAGGCTGGTCTCGAACTAATGAGCTAAGCGAGCCACCTCCTCAGCCTCGCCAGAATTCTACGATTACAGGCGTCAGCCGCCGCGCCCGGCCCAGTTTGGCGTTTTCATTCCAAACGTGTGATTGCTCGCCTAAGTTCATGAAATTCCTTTGCTCCCAAACCCACCACAGGATGTGAGCGAAGCACTTCCCTACCTTCACCGTTCACGCAGGATCCTCCGACCTCCCGAGCTCGCCGGCGGCACAGAGCCCCGCCCGCCAGCTCCGCCCCAGCACGGAGCCCCGCCCAGCGCGGAGCTCCGCCCCCAGCACGAAGCCCCGCCCCGGACCCTACCCGGGGCCCTGCGCCGCCGCGGCGGGGCCGCCCTGCGTTGGCCAGAACGCTGCCATGGTTGGGGGCCGAGGGGCCACCGGGCGCGGTCGGGACGAGCCTCCGGAGAGCTACCCGCAGCGGCAGGACCACGAGCTGCAGGCTCTAGAGGCCATCTACGGCGCCGACTTCCAGGACCTGCGGCAACACTCGCGCGGACCGGTAGGAACGTGGCTGGTCCGCCGCGGGCTGGCGTTTCCCCAGCCTCCCCGGGCCCTGGACCAAAACCGTGACGCCTCCAGCTTGAGCGGCCCCTTTAGGATCCTGCAGTCTTTTCATCCTTCCGATTTCACCCACGCTCACTTTTCGTCCTTGCGCCCGCAACTGGTCTTGAGAACCCCCCACCTGGGCCGAATCATCTTATACAGCCTTTTCGCCAAGTCGGCTCCT